TTTGATGCAATATTACTTTAGAACCAGAGTGAAGAGTTTAGAACACTGTGAGAATGGACATGAGTTTAAAGTACTCTTTTTCTTTATGGTTTCATGTTATTTGACAGAATAACAAAAAATAAATTTTAGGCAAATATTTCTTCTGAAGTGGTTTTAATGAGTTCTAGAAATCCTGATTCAAACCACTTGCTAGTTAAATATCTTCATTGTCCCAACTTGGAGAAATGAATGTCTAGGTATACTGCCATGCAGTATTGGTTAATAGATTCTGTAATGCCTTTCAAAAAGCTGATTGACTACATTTTGCCCTCATTTGGAAAATTAAATCAAAGAAAATGAAAGATAAATTAAGTATGTTGGGATTATCCATAAGAACAGCTGTAAAATTTATGATGTAAAATCACACTATACAGAGTTTTCCTCATTTAGACTGTTTAGCCTTGGCTGTCTTTCCCCCTTAGTATGATAAATCAGTGTGAATCTTAAAGATTGCCATACTTTCTCTTTTCCAATGAAACCTGGGGTAGATTAGCACTTCACTACATAAGATTCTAGATTTCTACGTGTTTATTAAGGTAGTTATGGAGGTCTGTGTGCTTGAGTCACAATTTGAAAGAAGTTAATTGGTAACTAAAATGTTAACATTTCATTAGCAGAATTGCTAAGTATTTTCTTTTTATCTCAGTGTTCATTTTATTCTTGTTGGCTCTTGATGTTTTGAAAATTTACAGCATGATACCATAAGAAACTGTGGACTGTTGTGCATTTGAAGGTTTATATATTTATTTTAAATTTCACATCTGTGAACAGTGCTGGTATTCTTTTGCTTTGCTTATAAGTATAATCAAAGTTTACAAGGAAGTGACAGCTGGCAATGCATGTACCTCAGTGTAGACAGGCAATCTAAACAGTAAAGTTGGGCACTCTGGGCTTATTGGTAAGCAGTAACAAGTCTATGAGTGAATGGATAACAAACATCTTTAGTTTCCAATCAGTGCAATTTGTGTTTCATAGTCCAAAATTTTGGGGTTGGCATAGTGGCTTGATGGTTAACGTTGTGGCTTGTAAGGCTGACATCCCATATGGGCACTGGGTTGAATCCCAGCTGCTCCACTTCTGATCCAGCTCCCTGTTAATGGACCTAGAAAACAGGTGGAAGATTGCTCAAGTGTTGATACCCTGCATCCACATGGGAGACCCAGAAGCCTCTCGGTCTTGTCTTCAGATTCGCACATCTCCAGCCATTTGGCCATTCGGGGAGTAAAGTAGTAGACGGAAGATATCTCTCTTCTTCTCTAACTTTGCATTTCAAATAAATAAGTTAATCTTTATGGAAAAAGTCCAGAATTTAACAACTGCAGATGTGCTGTGTTATTTATTTTTATTCATAACGTACAACCTTAAAATAAGTAAGAACAGACTGTGAATACTGGATGGTACAAAAACATCATGGGATTCATGGGAGATTACTTAGCCTAAACAGTTACACATTGAGAAGATTTTGGAAACATGGAATTAAAAGATAAGTATTCTTGCAAAAATATTTAAATCCAGGTATAGTTTTTATAGTCCATATTTTCTATCAATTTTAAGACTCATCATATCATCTCAGAGCTCATCATGAAAACAGAGTATTCCATTTTTTCTAATAAAAGAACATTCTATGAGCATGACAGTTACCTGATTTCAAGAGTATTTATTGTTGTTCAGCAACACATTTCTGTCCAATTTAATAAGCAATGATTATTTTGATTTTTCCATATGTCAGACATGTCCAAGAAAAGAAGTAGGAAAAGTGACTGGGTCTTTTCTTTGCCCATTTCTTTCATTTAGTCTTCACACTCCCTCTAATATTTCCTTGACCTAATGGAAACAAAGGCCAGTTGCCCCAAGCTCACCTCATTGTCATCTTTTTCTCTGGATCCTCTTAGGTTGTCCTTGAATGTTTTGCTCTAGCACCTGAAAATCCTTCAGAAACATAGTTTTAAAGCTAAGTTTTACAGCCTTAAGTTAAACATGTTTCACTGGAAGATAATATGTATTTGCAGTATGTGATATACATACTAGAAGGGTAGGTTTGCCAGATAAAATGCAGGACACCCTAATACCACATGGAACATCATCAAACCAAAAATTACATTGTTTAGCAGAAATTCAAATTTAGCTACGGGCTTCATCTTTCTAAATCTGACCACTTTGCTCAAGCGACATATAAAAGCTTCTCAAATTAACTAATGAATTGATGACAAACTGCTGCCTATATTGTATCATGATTATTCCTCTTTTAACCTAGGGTGTGAGAATACTTTGTTATTTGCACTTCCATCAAACAGTTAACTATCAGTCCAATTAGTTTTACTTACTATTGTGAAGTCTATACATGTATAGGCTTCACAAAATACATTTTAGTACACTTCTATCTTCAATTTTACATTACCACAGTAACATTTTAGGGAAGAGAAAAACTGCCCTTGTCAGCTGTGGCTGTTAGTAATATTCAAACTATAGTTTCTAGTTGAAAGACAGGCTCAATTTTTTTCCATAACAATAATCACTATTTTATCTTTTCCCAAGTGACCACAGCTCAAGCACCTTTACTCCAAAGGTTAGGATGCCTTGTGTGATGAGAGACTAGATTGATCACACTATTTGACAAAGTAATTTCATTTCTAGGGGTTTATCCTAAGGAAACAAAAAGAATAGACTACAAAGACATCTGCACAGGATGTTATTCACACTGTTGCTTGTAATAGCAATCAATCAACAAATAAATAGGAGAAATTGAGGACAACATTCACAATGCCATCAGAAAATGATTAGCTAAGTCAGTGATGGAACATCCAACCAAATTAGTCTCCTAACTGGATCTTACTATTTATTCTTATCCAGCTACTATCCAGTCTCAGCAAGATAAGTGAACTTTTTAGAACAGCAGAGACTAAAAAGAGACCTCCAGGCTTAAAATATACCAATATTTTCTGATCTTTATTATCTATTCATCTGACAAAAGCATTTTAGTTAACACTAAAATACAAACACTATATATTCATTTATTATATACAATGGGTACTTCAAAAAGATTGAAGAAAATGGAATATAAAAATACATTTATTTTGAAAAAAAAAGTACATTTATTTTGATGCATGAAAACTTGAAATCCATGCAGATAAAGGGATGTTCAAAAAACTCAATGAAAATAAGTGTTATAAAATCTATATACGAATTTTAAGTTTTTCTAAACCAAAATAATTTGTTTCATTTTACAAGAATTTTTGAAGTATCACTGTATATATTTTTTAAGATAGGTATACATTATGGAATGGCTAAGGAAAGTGACAACATACATATCAGCATACATATCACCTTGCACATATTTTGAGTTAGAATTACTTAAATCTATTTTCTCAATAATTTTGGAGAATATTATTCATTGTTATTAACTATATTCACCATGTTTCACATTTATTTCCATCCTCCAAGTCAATCAATGTTTAAAATTTTTGTTTTAATTTTATTAATATATTAGAAAGTAGATTTAATGTATTTTCATGCACAATTTTATGATAACCATACTTCCTGACTACCCTTCCTTCCTCCTTCCCTCAATCCCCCTCCTTCCTCCCTCCTTCCTTTTTTGTTTTTTAGATTTTTGCAAAGACACATTTTCATTCTACTCTATAATCACTGGCTTAATGTGTCACTAACTATAAAAGTATCAACTTCTATCCTTTGATTATACACCCACATTTTCTTCCCCTCATCAAGTTCTTTAAGTTTGCTGTTTGTTTTCTCAGCTTAAATGTTCTCTTCCTTGCTTCCTTATTGAAGATCATACCACATTATGTTTTAACCTCAACTATTACCCATGAATGAAAATGTTCAAACTATTCTATCTAAAGCAACCTTTTTCTCCTGGGCTAGTATCTATTGAATTACAGTGTTTTTTTTTTTTTTTCTTCAGAGCATTGAAAAAACTTAATCTATTTTTAACAAAAATATATATTGGCTGTACTGCCTCCTTTAAATATGCTCTATGATTGAACAGTTCTGTCATTCAAGCCACTCCAGAATGTGTAGTGAATTAATAGAAAAATCAGGTATATGAATCTCATTAGCATCAACATATGCTGGCAATTAACAGTCAGCCCCATAAAGGAAAACTTCTGACAGTCACAGTAATCTTGTTTCTTTTGAAAAATTGATTTAGAAGTGTACAAAACTTGTAGTTGGCAGTACATAAGGAAATGTCTACCTTGGAATGTCTCAGAAATTTTACATGCTCTTCTAAAAGAAATCAGGAGAGATATTGCTCTTTGAGGATGCAATATTTCTCTTTTTTTAAAGATTAATTTTATTTATTTGAAAGACAGAGTTACAGAGAGAGGTAGAGACAAAGAGAGTGGTCTTCCATCTGTGGGTTCACTCCCCAAATGGCTGCAGCAGCAGGAGCTGAGCCATTCTGAAGTTGGGAGCCAGGAACTTCTTTTGGGTCTCTCCCATGGGTGCAGCATCCCGAAAGACTTAGGCCATCTTCTATTGCTTCCCAGGCTACAGCAGAGAGCTGGATTGGAAGTAGAGCAGCTGGGACTTGAACCAGCACCCATACGGGATGCTGGCACTTCAGGCCAGGGCTTTAATCCTCTGCGCCATAGTGCCAGCCCCATGATGTGATATTTCTTGAGGGGCCACAACCCTTTTGAAAGCATGAAAGGTGTAGTTGCTATGCTCTGATTACATGCATATAAAAGTGTAAAGAATGGGTCTCTAATGGATCAAGCACTAATTTACCAATCAGAACATGGGTTTCAGGTACAGAAATGAAGACACATGCAGCCTGTGATGGCTGCAAATACATTGGATTGGGGACACTTGGAGACAAGCAGGGCCTATTCATAGGAATGAAAACACACTAGGGATAAAGAGAATGCAGTAAATCAATGCTTAGAGATAATTCATAGCCTTCTATAATTATGTTAGAATAAAACACAGAAGCATCCTTACAGCTTCCTCATTAAGAATTATAAAAAGACTCAAAAAATATTGAATTCAATCAAGAAAAAGATAATAGCAGACATTATTAAATGCTGTAAAAATAAATATCACAAGTGAATAAACAAAGATATAATGATTTTTAAAGAAATGTTAACAAAGTTATTAAAACTAATAAAAGAAATTAAGGAAATAAAGGTAAAAAATCACACAAATAACCTATTTCAGGAATTAAAACACATTCTTTAGTAAAAATTATAGCCTTTACCAACCTACTAAAGGAAATGTGTCAAATTCTTAGGAGTAAAATCCGACTATACACATCAAAATCCACTATATTTTGAAAATGAAATTCCCAAAACACGAACATAACATGAAATAGGAAAACTCCTACATAAACCAAGTAAGTTGAATCACATTTTAAAACTGAAACCAACCAACAAAAAAACTTAAACAATCAAAATTTCTGGTCCATGTTTACAGGCATATTCCAAACTTCTAGAGAAGAAAAACAAACATACTTGCCAGACCTGTGCAAAGTGGAAATAAGCACAGAATATTTTTAAATTTATTTTTGGAAAGTGAGGATTACATTAATGATGATGCATGTGTACCAGTACGTGAAGTAATTTTTTAAAAGCATACCTTTCATAAAGAGATAGAAATATTCTAAGCAAAGTATTATTATAATAAATGAAATCACATAGGAAAACCAAGTAAGATGATTACAAGCAAGAGACAGTAAAAATATGAGAGTTGTCGAGATTCCCAGAATTGTTGAGATTCCCAAAGAAGTCACCCAAGTAGGTGAAAAATACAAAAAGAAAATCACATGATTGTTTAGGTTACATGTGAAAATATTTAATAAAGTTCAACATCCAGTGAAAAAACTTGCTATCCATCAAACAAATAAGCAGAAACTAAATTCTTCAATCATATCAAGATTTACTCCTAAGATTTGACAAGATTAAAATAACTAGCACAACTAATACAGGATCATTGAGAACTTTTTCCCTGGAAGTAAGCCTCGACCAGGAGGGCACTACTATTTCTTTCAACTTCCTATTGGAAACGTAGTCAAGGAAATAAAGTGGCAAAAAGGAAACACAATGTGTAAAGATCAATTTCTAAGGAAAAAATTATATATATAAATACATATGTGTACATATACACACATAATTATATAGGATGGCCCTTAAATATATAGATAATTCATAAAATCTAAAAATAATACAACTGATACACAAATTCAACAATATTACTGGAAATATTAATGTATAAAATCCACTAATTATTAAGCACTAGCAAGAAACAAACATAAAATAATATTAATGGGCAAGAGGCAGAATAGAAAACAAATAAGTACAGTAGAGAGGTAAAAAAAAGGATTGAATTATGTAATATGTAGAAACATTCAAATATCAGCATTAAAAACCCCACATTGAAATGAGTCTGAAATATGAAGAAAATGTAAAACACCAAAGCCAATAAATAGCCAATACACTTTAATTCACCCTAAGCAAGTTACTGCAGCCTCCAGGTAGGATTCTCCCAGGAAGACCCATGAGGAGGCAGGAGGGTCCCAGCAGGTGGCAGGATCCCTGCTGGTGAAAGGGTGCAGCCTAGAGGAGGCCCTTGGCCCCTGAACCCAGGCCATGCCTCTTTACCATCTGAAGCAGCCTGGAGTTTCATGTCCCTGCTGTAAAGATGCTGATTTGTTGCATCTGCTGGGTCCTGCGTGCTGACGGCTATGTGAGCTGTCCAATCAGGCGTGGTGATGTCACTGCCACATAATCACACTGGATTGTTACACCGTAGAGTTCCAAATTCTTGGAGGAGAGAGGTCCAAGGAGGGGCCTCTGCTGTTGGGAGACTCAGGAGCTAGTGTGGTATCCGCTGGTAGCTGACCTTGTCCACCGCAACACAGCCTATCTCGGATGCCTGGGAATGGTGAGTGTGTGTGGCCAGGTGTCCAGAGTGGGGGAAGGGGAAGCTGGTGGTACCTGCTGGCAGGACGTGGGCTCCCAGAGGTCATCTGTGGAACATTGGGCTTCATCTTGCTGTCAGCACAGCACTTCCCTGGGTTCCTTGACTGGCACCCTGGACCCAGGCACCCTGCCCCTTTCCTGTTAGCAGAGAAGTCTCATCCCTAGAGCCATCTGTGGAGAGCTGAGTGGTTGCAGCCCCGCATCTCCCCGATTGTGCAGTGTGGACAGAGTGGTCACCAGGGAGCAGCAGTGTTGTGTGTATGGGGTTTATGCACTGCACGTGAGGAGCTGTCGTCTATGGGGTCCTCAGTTCTCCTTTCTTCCCATGTGGGAAACAGGGTCTCAGTTCCAGGACCTGGCCTTTCTGTGTAGCTTTCTAGGAAATACCCCAGTAGTTCTAGTATGTGCAATTATTAAGTAGAAACAGTGTAGAATGCCTACTGATTTCTAAAATTTACAAGAAGGTTGAAACTGTTTAAATTTATTTATTTATTTATTTTTTTGACAGGCAGAGTGGACAGTGAGAGAGAGAGAGAGACAGAGAGAAAGGTCTTCCTTTGCCGTTGGTTCACCCTCCAATGGCCGCTGTGGCCGGCGTGCTGCGGCCAGCGCACCGCGCTGATCCAATGGCAGGAGCCAGGAGCCAGGTGCTTTTCCTGGTCTCCCATGGGGTGCAGGGGCCAAGCACCTGGGCCATCCTCCACTGCACTCCCTGGCCACAGCAGAGGGCTGGCCTGGAAGAGGGGCAACTGGGACAGAATCCGACGCCCCGACCGGGACTAGAACCCGGTGTGCCGGCGACGCTAGGCGGAGGATTAGCCTAGTGAGCCGCGGCGCCGGCCCTGTTTAAATTTATTAAACAGTTTTTATGTGAGACTGTCAAGAAAACTTGAGAAAAGTTCTACTTTATTACACACAATGCTTTTTTAAAGAGATCATATAATAGATGTTTTTGCACTGATATTTGGTAAATAATGAAAGATTTCCCATGAGACTTTTTATAAAGGAATTAGGACACATATTAGTTTCTCATTTAATGTCTTCATTTTTAAATATTGTTTATAGCCATTTACTATATTCCCACTAAACTAGGGTCTTTTTGCATTTTATTTGTTAAACTTTTTTTGGTGAAGTATTACGACTTTTTTTTTTTACTGTGAAGTGTATTTAAAATGTTATCTCAAAAACTAAAGAAAAAATACAAGGAAGAAGAGTGGGAGAGAGAGAAGGATATATCATTATTCTTTTAGAATTGTGTATACAAACAATATTGCATATTGGTAGTTTAAAAAATTACCAATTTGAGAAATATTTAAATATATAATTTGACAAATATTTAAAGCAAAATGAAACATTATAGATACTTTCTTCTTGATTATCATTCTTATCTATGAGATTAGAAAGAAATCCTATTTTCTCATTTTAAAATATCCTAATATATTAGAGTGGATAGAGTTCTTGGCCCCTGGCTTCAGCATGGCCCAGTCTTGGCTATCGTGGCCATTTGGAGAATGGACCATCAGATGGAAGATCTCTCTTCTTCACTGTCTCTATAACTGCCTTTAAAGTGTATAAATATGTTGAAGATTTTCCTTAATTTCATTCTAAAAATGTGTCTCTGTTTACATGTATGCATTATACGTGCATCACAGAACATTCAGAAAATTTAGTATAAGCTATGGGAAGAGATCAAATCTCCTTCCATATTCAGTCACTTTACATTTACATAAAGATACATGCATATAGATGTATACTTCTACAAACAAAACCATGACCAAAATAGACATGGCATTTTGTAGTCTACATTTCCTACTCAACAGTGTGTAACGTGTTTTTCCCTTCATGTTGTTAACTATTCTTCTTAAAGTTCGTGATTTGGTCATTTTTTTAGGTCATTTTTTTTTTCATGAAAGATCTCTGTGAGTGAGATCCCAGTGGAAAGAACAGGTCATCAAAGAAGGAGGTACCTTTCTCTGAAGGGAGGAGAGAACTTCCACTTTGACTACGCCCTTGTGTAAATATGTGCAGAGTCAGTGAACTCAAAAGGCTTCCATAGCCTTGGCAACTCATGACAAGACCCTAGGGTGATTACTGATGCCATAAACAAGAGTGTCATATTGTTAAGTCAACAACAGGAGTCGCTGTGCACTTACTCCTCATGTAGGATCTCTGTCCTTAGTGTGCTGTACATTGTGATTTAATGCTATAACTAGTACTCAAACAGTATTTTTCACTTTATGTTTCTGTGTGGGTGCAAACTGTTGAAATCTTTACTTAATATATGCTAAACTGATCTTCTGTATATAAAGAGAATTGAAAATGAATCTTGATGTGAATGGAAGGGGAGAGGGAGTGGGAAAGTGGAGGGTTGCAGGTGGGAGGGAATTTATGGGGGGGAAGCCATTGTAATCCATAAGCTGTACTTTGGAAATTTATATTCACTAAATAAAAGTTAAAACAAATGAGTGATTTGAATTGGCTGAAAATATTAACCTCTCCTTTTGACCTCTTAAGTTTTAACAATTTTCTATGATGAATAATTATAGTAAACACTCTTCATAAGTCATATGTCTGGTTTTAAGATTAGACTGCTTTGTGTAAGTTGAATTACTAAGCTTGAGATTAATTACTGGGTCCCAGAGTAGGGACATTTAAGGGTTATAATAAATAATGCTAAACTTCCCTACAGAAAAGGCAGCAGTAATTTAGCTACCTACCAAAGTGGTATAACAGTCATTTTTTTGAGAAAATGCTTAGTAATAAGAGGTATTGGAAAATTTTAAAAGAATCATCAATTGAGTCATTAAAATGTCATCTCACTGTTGTTTTGCATTAATTTTTTATTATGTGTGCTTGAATTTAATTTCCTAAGTTCATTGCCCAATTATATATCTTCATTTCGATACTTCCTTTAACAATTATAAAATAATTTTTATATAAATGAATGGAGGGCCCAGCACTGTGGCATAGCAGGTAACACTGCCATGTGCAGTTCTGTCATCCCATGTGGGTGGTGGTTCAAGACCTGGCTGTTCCACTTCTGATCCAGCTCCCTGCTGTGGCCTGGGAAAGCATTAGAAGAAAGCCCAAGTCCTTGGGCCCCTGCATCCCTGTAGGAGACCTGGAAGAAGCTCCAGGCTCCTGGTTTTGGATAGGCCCAGCCCCAGCTGTTGTGGCCCATTGGGGAGTTAACCAGTGGGTGCAAGACAGCTCTCTCTCTCTCTGCAACTCTTTGAAATAAATCTAAAAGTCTTTACAAAATTTCAATGAATCGAACAAATTTCATATATTTCACATATATGGTGTTAAGAGAATAATGATACTTCCCAATCTACTCTTTTTCTCTCTGTCTCTCCCTCCCTCCCTCCTCCTTCCTTTCTTATTTTCCCCTTAATTTTTACAATGACATACTTTTAATTTACTTTATACACAAGCTTAACCCTCCACTAAATAAAGAATTCAACCAGTAACAAGTTGTAAGTCAGTAAAATAACAACAACAAAAAAATCAAGCAAAAAAAAAACAAAAAACAAAAAACAAACACTGTTCCTCAAGAGTATAGACCAGGACTGAAAAAATCAAATGTAAAAATATCAATTTTGATCATACGCACTACATTTTTTACTCTGTATATTAGCCATAACAAATGAGGGTAACATATGCTATTTATTTTTATGGGTCTGGCTTATTTCAGTAATCATAATAGTCTCCAGTTTCATCTAGTTTCTGGCAAAAAAAGGATTTCAATTTTTAATAAAATTTTTTTCATTAAAATTTTTCATTAAAAATTTCATTTTTAATTCCAGTGTGTGTGTGTGTGTGTGTGTGTACATCTCACAATTTCATAGTTATCAGTTGATGGACATCTGGGTTAATTCCATATCTTAGGTATTGTGCATTGAGATGCAATAAACAGAGGGTACAGATAATTTTACATAAGCTGATTTCATTCTCTTTGGGAAAATAACCAGGACTGGGATTGCTAGTTCATATGGGAGATCTATTTACAGATTTCTGAGGAATCTCAATACTGTCTTCAAATGTTGGCTGCACTAATTTGCATTCCCATCAACAGTGGATTAAAGTTCCTTTTTCATCACATTCTCACCACAATTTGTTGTTGTTTGATTTTTGTATGATACTCATTCTAATTGTTGTGAAGTAAAACCTCATTATGGATTTTATATGCATTTTCCTGATGGGAAGTGACCCTGAGCATCTTTCCATGTGTCTGTTGGCCATTTGTATTCCATCCTTTGAAAAATCCCTGTTTATATCTTTAGCCCATTTCTTAACTGGATTGCTTGGTTTTTTTGTTGTTGTTGAGTTTCTTGAGCTCTTTATATATCCTGGTATTATTCCTCTATGGAATTTATAGTTTGCAAATATTTTATCCCTTTCTGTTGATTTCCTCTTTAATTTGTTGAGCATTTCCTTTCCAGTGTAGAAGCTTCCTAGCTTCATGTAATCTCATTTGTCTATGAGTGCCTTTTTTGTCTGTGTTTCTGAAGTGTTTTCCAAGAAGCCTTTGCATGAGCCAATGTCTTGTAGTGTTTTGCCTTAGTTTTCCTTGAGTAATTTGGTGGTTTCAGGTCTCAGATTTAAGTCCTTGATTCACTAGGTATGATTTTATGTAGGGAATAAGATAGGTGTACTTGTTTCATACTCATGTATACAGAGATCCAATTTTTCCAACATCATTTGTTGAAAAGAATGTCCTTTCTGCAGCAAGTGATTTTAGGTCAATTGTCAAAGATTTCTTGGTTGTAGATGCATTAGTTAATTTCTGGAGTCTCTAGTCTGTTCCATTGGTTGACCTGTCTAATTTTGTGTCAATACCAAACTGATTTGATTATAATTGCCCTGTAATATTTCTTGAAATCTGTTCTTGTGATGCCTCCAGCTTTACTTTTAATGTTTATGATTGCTTTGGTTACTTTTGGTCTCATGATTTTGTAAGAC